ACATCAGTTTTTGATGAAACTTGGTGCATAGATGCTTTGGGCTGATGCGCAGATTTGATTAGGTTTTGGTAAAAATCCATGCATATTAATTACCTAATTTACATGACAATTAGCTAATTTTTACCGTTTCATTACTGTTAAACATTTTGTTCTAATGCTTTCATACATGAGGTATTTTAAAACGAAGTGGAATTCATCCTCTATTTCAAGGGATTCACATATTTTACCTTTTTGTTCTACCTCTAGTCCCACAAATCTACCCTGTTTATTTCTAGCCTATGACTAGAGCACCTGATGGAAGCAAGAACCCTTTTTAATTTATCAACGAATACAAATATACTTCTGGGTGAAATGAAGTTTTTATATTTCTATATGTCCACAGCTTTCCCTTTGAGACAACACCCCCAATCATGCTTAAATATATAAGATGCTCTGGTCACAAATAGATGTAAAAATGCATCAAGGTCACTTGGTTCCCTGCCATAGCCATACCTCCCCGACCCATGCACAGATAATAAATATTTTACTTTTGATGCCCAAGATTCCTTATTATTATCAAGTGAAATAGCCAAATTATATGCTTGTCTAGCGACTCGATTTTGAGACATTTTTAGTACTTTAAACCAGTATTTGAGACATTTCTTAAAGGTATACAATTAGCAAGAAAATTGGAAACCTGCCACATTCTCCCAAAACTACTTCATCAGATGTTGATTTCACCCCAAAAATGCTTTACAATTTTCATCATCTGGTATTTACTATGCCCCCATATTTCAGACCCGTAGCTTAAAACCTGCAAAACCATACTATCAAATGATTTAAAATAATCTTGGTAAGGCAATCTTCCAGTTTTTCTTATCATACGATAAATGGTGTACATGACCCTTCGCGCTTGTTGTGTAAGCGTTGTTACTGCTTTGCCCAAAGTGTTTCTACTTTCTGCCAACAAGAGTCTAATATTGTCACTAAATATCGTTAGCATACAAGAGTAATAATAAATTAATCAACTCTTGTGTAATTTGTATTCCCCTATACCCTGAATTTTCAAGCATACTATTTAGTTCATTTATAAAAAGTGAGAACAAAAAGGTGCTACAATACACCCTTGTCTTACGCCTGCATTACATGGGAAATAATTTGTAATACCATACTGAATGTTTGTATAATTAGATACAAGTAAGGAATACAAAGCAATGTCGCTGTTCACACGCGACGAATCATTCGGTCATTAATCAACCTGTCGCTTGGTCACCACGTGGCTATATTCCAGCCATATATTTATTAAAACTTTGTTCACTGTCATTATTATTCAAAAGTGTTATCCCCTTTTCAAAATCGCACTTCAGTGCTTGGATATATTGAGAAGTATTTTATTTTGCTGTTGGCCTTGAATCGTGTATCCGCTTTAGTTCCTTAATTTGGTACAAGTTCATAAACATTTACAATGTCACTTCAAAGTTATTAGGGGTGATTACACAATCATCATAATATTATTTAAGAAATTCCGATAGTGATAATGTTTTGAGCGGCCAACAGTTGATCTCGCTGTGAGAAGTCTTCCTGTTTGACAGAAACGCTGATATACCCAAGGTCAACATTTTCCACTAGCAACGCCATGATGAATTGTTTTAGAACTGTAAGGTCCCGGGAAACAGTCCTATCAAAACACAGAACTGAATCAATCAAAAGCTTGTCGTTTGTGCTTGTTTTTGATCAACAGAAGTCTTAATGTTATTATCAATGCGTACAACGACGTTTGCTTGTCACTCTACAACACGTACGCCTATGAAGGACCATGACTTTCTGGATATAGTAATATCCCAAAATTACCAGTAGCAGTAGTGATTTTTATTTTGCACTTGGAAAAGGACAAATAACGTAAGTAAAAGCCAGAGAACGTATAAAACCTTAAGAAACCTTGCGAGTCGGCCATTCTCACTACAAAAAAGTTTACGATCCCCTTACCATTCCCAAACAGAAATAAAACACGAAAAAGTTCAAAACTACTTAATAACACTACCACAAGTCGATACATTCCTCGTTAAAAATGATCATAGTCTGTAATGACAGTGGGAAGCGTGTGAAAACAAATCTTTATTTGACATTTTATATAGCAGTGCAGCTGTGACACGACGTGACGGAGCATACACAGGTCTTTACAGAACCACATGAACAGAATGTGTGTGAAGAGAGGTATGTGTGACGATTGAAATCGGTGTTTTGCGCCACCTTAATGCGCCGGCGCATTTCCCGAAATAGGCATTGTGCGCCCCCAGTTGCCGAAATTGTCATCTAACTGTAAGCCTGTCGCTGATTGGCTGCTGAGCTGGAATGACAATTTTTGGTTTCAAATACTCCAGGAAAGTGTTCTATGTTCTTCGTGTAATTAGGTGTTCGTATTTAAGGGATTTTTCCACACAAAAACGCCGAATTTTGTTATCGGTTGGTTTAATATTACCCCAAACGAATCGTATTTCTGTGAAAGATTGGCATTTTTGTCCTGATTTGTAGGAATCTGAAAAACGCGTTTCACAACTTGTCTCTTATTCAGTTTTATGCTGCATTCAAGATGGCGGGCTCCCATATAGTAAACATCATACTTATTTTATTATCACGTGTGTGCCAGCTGACTGTGTTCCTGTTTAAATGGTTTGCTGTCGCTGTATATTGTTATGTAGATTCTAATTGTCTTTATCTTTGGAGTCAGTGATGAGTTTATCACGTTTTGCCTCAATTTTCCATCATGCAATGCTATGAAGCATAGTTGTTGGGCGTTATCTTTTGCCGTTGCTTGTTGTACATCTCGAATATGCACTGCACTGTCTTTGGTAATGTGTGTAGAATTATGACTGTTGATGTGCTCATCGGCTATCTTTTCTCCGGACTGGATTGCCTTTATGGTAATGAATTACCTGACATATATATTCAGCTTCGAGGCAGATAAACTACCTTATGGCCGTATTCTAGGAGTCTTCACTGGCGATTCCAGAAATTCGGTAAGGGGGCGCGCTGCTATTGACGTGTTTGTGCTTTTGATGTAGGCGCGTTGAATAATGGTACCTGTGGCCAGTCATTACTCGAAATTGACTTCCATAAAGATACAGGTGAAAGTGTAACATATCCCATAAGTTGCATAACTCATTTTGTTGGATGTAGCTCCAGTATTAATGAACATGAAAGTAGTACACTGTTCACACATGCAGTAATCAAAGGTGTTTTGCCCCTGTTCTGTGAGTTGACGATGAGCACGAATCAAATGAGCAAACATCCACGAATAATTTATGATTAAATTTCCAGATTTTTGTCATGGAATTCACAATGTTCAGCAAGTTTTTGTAATCTTGTTTGGAACATGTCAACAGTTTCCCCCTTTTTCTTGTATGGTATGGTTCATACTCAATAATACGTTTCAGAGAAAAGTTGCCTGTAATTGTTTGCTTGCGCCAGTGTCAGACATTGTGTCAAAAACAACCATCTCTTCTTCCCCAGAGTTATATGGCTCGCTTCTGTTTATCCTCAGTGTAAGTGAATGCTTAAAACATAATTTCGAGTATCTTCCCATATTTTCCCATCGCAGACTAGTTGATCCAATATATGATGGAGAAAAAAACGTGGGAATGCTGTCAAATTCTGCTGTGGCGGGAATATCATAAGTTTTAAGTCCTTTTTCCGTTGTTTTTTCTTTTTTTTTTTCACAGAAAGGTTCTCCCAAATTACAGTAATAGGTCTTGTTTGCTTAGAAACACGCTTGAGTTTGTTTACACGCTCGTTGCCAGTGTAAGATTAGGAATATGAAATGATACAATCAGACGTTATAGATAAAGCAGCGTAGAACTACTTTTTCTGACTTATGACCCTGATACATGAGATTCCAACATATAGTACATATACATATAATATATTGAGGGCGCTATTGTATCACAGAGCTATGTTG